AAGGAGTCCAGATAACTATGTCTTCATTCTTTCCATTTTTTTTAAATTTCAAAAAAAAAAAAAATTAATTTTTTTTTCTTATTTTTTTTCAAAATGGATCTTTTTTTCTTAAAATAAAGCTTATAAAATTTCCTTGAAGGGTCCCATTATGGGATGCTAGTGGAATATCTATCAAAAAAATTATATTTTAACTCAAAAATATTTTCTTTTTAATATTTTGCACTTAATTGTCCCCTATTTTTTCAGAATCGACGTTTTTGTTGTATTTTTTTTACACAAAAGAAAGCTTAGACCATTACCTTTAAGACCTTTATAGTTACATAGTGGGATGCAAGAGACTTCTGTAAACAAAAATAATATTTTAACTCAAAAACATTGCTTCTTGAGTTCAAATATTTTTTGTGGATATCCCACTTGCATCCCACTAAGTATTTATAAAGCTCTTAAAGGAAATGATCTAAGTTTGCATTTAAGTAAAAAAGCAACGAAAACGTCTATTTTGAAAATTAAGGGGAAAATTGAGTGGCAAATATTGAAAAAAAAACTTATTCTTAAGTTAAGAAATATTTTTGTTCTTGAGAGATATCCCACTCGCAACCCATTATGGGACTATATATAAGGACGTTAAAGTAAATTGTTTAAAAAATTTTAAAAATTATTTAAAAAAAATATTAATTTTAAAAACTTAAAAAAAAAAATTGGAAACATTGAAGAAATAGCTATCTGAACTCTTTTGGACAATTTTTTGCTAGGACCAATAGGTGAATTGAATTGAATATAACCCTGTATGACTAAAATTTCCAACTTTGACCCCTTCTAAGTCCGGCAGGAAGACATTGATTTTGAAGTTGGGTCACTTGACACAAATTTGTGCAAATCAAAACATTTTTGGAGTTGCGTAAAATAAATTATAAAAGATAAGTTGTGGTACTGCCAGATATTAAGTCTTTGTTTTAGCAAAGACATGATCCAACAAAACACCTTTTAAATATTGCCCGATTTGTTTCCTTCTTTATGGGGCCTTAAGGAAACTTAAAACTTTAGCAAACATACTATTGTCAATTTTAAAAGGTGCATTTAATGTTGTCTTTGGTAAAACTACAACAATCTGGCAATACAATAATTTATCTTTTGCCAATTGATTTCCTCTGCCGGTTGTATTTTTCTCTTAGTTATTAAAAAATAATTAAAGTCCGTTTCCGTCTATAGTTTCAGATAAATATGTTCATTGTTATGGGTGTCAAATTTAATAATATTTTTATGGATTTTATTAGTTAAAGTTGTTAAATTATGTGTAAAATTTGATCTAATTTATATGAAATGCATAGGATGTTTTTGTAATTAATTCTAAAATATCAATTAGTATTTGGAACTTTTTCTCTAAATTTTTGAAAAACTCTTTTAATACCTCATTCTTCGAAATTTAATGTCTGTTCAAAAACTAAAAGTTGTTACTAGTTTTCTTAAAAATATTTGAAATTTGTCTTGAAATACAAAAACATTTTGTGATAGTTTTTAATAATTTTGTGTTATTGAACAGCGTTCTTTTTGAAAAGCTTTTTATAACATCTGTACTATATAATTTAAAAATATTTGAATTGAATGCATTCATAAAGTTTTAGCCAAGCCACACACCATCTTATTTGGAGAGTTTATTTTATATACAAGACAACAACCATACAATAAATACGTTTTAAATGGTGGTACTATTTTAATTTTGTCATACCTTGTGTTACACATCGAAATATTGGTCGTATGGACTCTGTTTGTTAGCTCATAAAAGAGAAGCTAGGGGTATGTCATTTTGACAAAGTGTTTTCTATTGATCAGAAGTGTTTGGCATTGAAAAGAGACAAATGCTAGAGTAAGAAATGTCTGTTGACGTTACGTTTGTACACCCGGATTAAGGTTTAATTTTACTTTAATAAGCCCCTTTGTAACATATATATGGTCAATTTCGTGTCAAGTGACCCAACTTTTAAAATCGATGCCTTCCGATTTGAATGACATTTGTTCCAAGGTTGGATAGTATGCCAGAAACAAATTTTCAGTTCTAACGGTCAAGAACTGCTGACTTAGACATGGTCAAATTTGGAAATTTTGGTCATAAAGGGTTTTATTCAAGTGAGTGTAACTTTTCACCTATTGTCCAAAGGAGTTCATTGTTTCCAAAAAACATGTTTTAATTATTTTTATACCCTTCACCTTCGTGAGAAGGGTATATATACGTTTGTCATTCCGTTTGTAATTTCTATAATATAATTTTCCGACCCTATAAAGTATATATATTCTGGATCCTTATAGATAGCGGAGTCGATTTACCCATGTCCGTCTGTCTGTCTATGTGTATGTTGAAATCAGTTCTCAGAAGACCCCAGATATCTGCGAGATCCGAATTTTTAATAATTCTATCGAATAGAACGCTATTTAAAATCAGCCCAATCGGTCCATAAATAACGAAGATATGAGTAAAAATCCGAGACCACCTCTGAAAATTTCATGAAAAATTTAAATTTTTCGTGCATGCTTATTCAAAACAGTAAACAAACAAAACACAGTATCAAACGGTAAATTTTTTTATTATTGTGATTTCTTGTTTATAAAAAAGATAACAAACGTTACATTGTTATTATCCATAAAAGAGGACTTTTTGATACTTTTTCGTTCTTCAAAAGGTACTTTTTGAAATTTCTATAATGTTGAACCTGGAAACATGAAATTAAGTATGTAGAGTCTGGATTAAGTGATAACCCATAAAAGGGGACTTTTTGGTACCTTACCGTTTTGCAATTGGTATTTTTTGATTTTTTGTAATAAAATTCGTACTGACTATTTTTTAATACATCACATCTTACTTGTTAAAAATTGAAAATCTTTTTTTTATTTTTTTTTTCCAAAATAGACGTTTTGTTGTTTTTATACCCTCCATCAAAAAAGATTGATTTTGTCATTCCGATTTTGTCGTTCCGTTTGTAACACATGGAAATATTCGTCAAAGACCCATAAAAGTATATATGTATATTCTGGGTCCTTATTAAATTCTAAGACGATCAAACCATGTCTGTCCGTCTGTTTGTTGAAAGTACGATAGAATCCGAACGGAAAGAGCTTTTAGAGTTGAAATTTTCCACAAATATTTCTTAGAGATAAAGTTTGTTTGGTATTGAAATACAAATGCCCCCCCCGAAAAACAGCTTTAACAGTCATAACTGTTTTAAGAATACGAGTATAGCGATGAAAATCAACATAAATAAGTTTTATATTCACTCCAACAAATGTTATGACGATCGGTCCATAATTAACCCTACCCCTAATATATGGTCTCCTCCAAAAAATGACTTTAACGCCCATTACTAGCGCTGAAATTCGATATACGTAAGTATCTTAGGAGCAAAAATCTATCTACCAATTTTTTATGAGGACCAGTGCATAACTTACCCTACCCCCATATAAGGTCCCCCTTACAAAATGAATTTAACTCTCACTACTGGCTTGAAAATAAGAGTATATCGCTGAAATTCGAAATAAGTAAGTGTCTTCGTTTCGAAATGACGGTTGCAATTCTTATAGTTATGTACACATTGTCAAGGGTTCTGATGACCGCTTTACTCTTAGTATATTAATTGATATTTCCTACCTATTTGATACTGAATCTGTTCTTCTGCTGCTACTGTAATGTCTATTTCTTTGGTCTGCATTTAGCTACCAAAGTAATATGGCAGCCTGACTGACAGTTGTATTTCCAACTAGCTCGAAAAGATCTTTAATTACTTTGAGGCCCCTATCTAAAATATTTCTGAGATAAATATTTAAGTATTTTTAATAAATTGCTTTTGGAGGATCCAGATATCTCCGGAATCTTGGTTGTTATTATGTATTTATGAATTAAATCAGAAATAAGATTGAATTAGATTCAAGTATAAATTTAAGTAAACTCTCTTTTCATCTGATCGACAAGATTGAAGTACGACTTTAAGTTCTTTTTACTTACCTTAACAAAAATAAATTAATAAAACATAACAATAATTCGTATATTTTTTTTAATATTTAATTTTATTTTATAGAAAAAAAAAATCATTTAATTTTAAACTTAAAATATAATTTGTTGTTTAATTTATACAAAGTTAATTTTCTTTTTGTTAAATATTTCTTTATTTTCAATTTAATTTTCATCCAATAATTAAAACGTTTATTTTTCTTTTCTTTTAAATAAATTTTCTCCAATAATTTTTTAATTTTTCTAAATGTTGCTGTTGTTTGAACTTTAACAACTTAAAAGAAATTAATTAATTATTATAAAAAATTGTGCTAATTAAATTTTAAATAATTTTATAGTTCTTGTTTTTGTTTTATTATTTTGTAGATAATAATAATAGTAATAGTAATAATAGATCCAATTAAATTTTGTTTACAAACAATGTTAATTATGAATTATAGTTATTTTATGTATAGAGTTTTTTTTTATTATTATTTAATTAATAATATTAAGTTGTGTTCTTTAGGTATTATTAACAATTACAAATTGTTATATATATATATTTAAATTATATTTTACGTTTTACGTATTATGTTGTTTTTGTTGATTGGTTTTAAATGATAAAAACTAAATAAAATATTTACAAAAAAATATATATATATTAAAGATAGAAAGAAATAGTTATTGTAATAAAAACATTTAAATATTAATTCTTCAATTTTGCCAATTATTAAGAAAGTGCAATAATTGCTGTAGTATAACAAAAAAAAATGGCAATATGTATGTGTGCTGTTGGGCATGCATAAGCAGGCTTCAATCATAATAAGATTTTAAGTGATTTCTGTTATTTTAAAACAATTCTTGCACTGACTTAATTAAAAAAATATATATTATTTTATATTAAATAATTATTATTTAATAAGTTTATTTTTTGTTTGTTTTAAACTTATTAATTTATGGTTTTATTTTACCTGTTTAATGACCCTTATTTATTGTTTATTTTAATCAAGTTTTCATTTATTCATTGTTTTTTTTTCTTTCTTTGTTTTAAATTTTAAATGTTTTGTTTATAAATTTTTACTATTTCTTGTTAATAGACTTAACAACTAATAAGTTTCTTATTTATTTATTGTAATATGTATTTTTATTTGTTGTTTATTTATAATTTTCTTTAAATTATTCTATGTAAATATTATTAGGCGACCAGATATAACCTAAAAATAGAAATAAGAGAAAAAATATTAATATTTGAAACTAAAGTTCTCCAGCTCTGTATTAAATAATTAGGCATTAAAACAAATTAAATTGATCCTTAAGGTAGGCAACACAATTCATAGTATAGAGACCTAGAAAGTAGGCAAACGCTTAAAATTGTGATAAATTTTGTTTTATCATACTTTTCCTGGGAATCTCTTCTACTAAACTAAACCAATTTCTCTCATTCTCTTATTTAATTACCCTAAATAAGTCAAGCAAGTACATGGAAATAATCCCTAAAGTGTTGTATAAAACAAACTGTAAAAAATAGTATAAATCTTTGACAGTTTAAGGAAAAAACTTTTAGTTTTCTCTAAAAAAAAGGAAATCAGGAAACACCAAGGTAACTAAATAAATTGACAACAAATAGAAAAAAAAAACGAAATACAGAGTCCTTAAACATCATTTATTTATTTATCAGCTCAATTCAAGCAGAATTTATTAATGATGCTCAAACAGGAACCAACAAAAAAGAAAAAACTTTATCGTAAAAAATTAAAATTTTATCATGAAATTAATTTGGACGAAAAAGTTTTCTTTTTACAGCCACCAACAAAAGGTGTCAGCCACTTAATACTCACATAAGTTTAAAACTTTTTTTCCATAATATTCGTTTTTTTTTTTGTTAACACTACAAAACAGTCATTAAACCATGACAACTTGTTCATCAATTTTTTTATTGAATTATTTAGAAAAAAAGTTTTTTTCCCTTTAAAAAAGAATTTTAATAATAAAAACTCAAGTAGAACTTAGACACACATTCAACATATTTGAGGTAGCGTAATGGTGATAATTTTATGACAATTTACGTTTTTTTGTCATTTGAAATTCTTGTAACAAAATGCTACTTGTATTTCTAGCGTAAAAATGTATCGAAAGTATTTGACACTTGAAGGAAGGTATCATGTACTAGAGAAAAATTTGTCTTCCTTTATTCACACCATATTCTGGTTTATAAAATATTCTGCTTTAAATGAAAAAAAGGTCCTTGACAGTACAGTGTTGTATGATAAGTAAAAAAAAAAATGCTGAATGTAGTTTGAGGGGGTGACAATATTTATTAAACATTTTTTTCCTTAACTTTTTACTCCTGAGGGGAATAAACGTTTACCTAAGCAGCTTTGAAAGTGTAACAATCAAAAATTGCTTTTGTCAAATCACTTTTTCTAAGGGGCCTTTTTGATCGCTTTTATATGGTCCCTATTAGGGTTTGTTGTTGATGGTTTCGGGCTTAATCTTAAGAATGATTTTATAACCATTTTAAGGACTTCAATATCTTTTTTTATTCTACTTTCGACCTTTAACAAATTTTTCGTTTAAAAAATATTACAAAAAAAAACTCAGAAAGAAAATAATTTTGTTTTTATATTTTTATTTAATTTAAATATTTAAAATTTTTTTTTAATTTTAAAATTTTTTCTATTTTACATCATACAAAATGTTCCATCCCTGACTCTAGCGTAAACTTTTGGAATAACAAAACTATAACAACATACTGACTGCTTCATATGTCACTTGTTGTTGGTTTTTAGCCACTAATACAATAACAACATATACATAACATATGAAAATGTATGTTGTTGTTTGCAATAGTTTCATGGGTCGTTTTGGAATTTTGTTCATATCTTATGGATTGATTCTGGAAAGCATATACAAGATAGTGATTCATGAGATATCTGATGACTTAAGAAAACTGATTTCAAGAGGCATACTGACAGACGGACATCACTATATCGAGATCACTATCTATGGAATCATATATTCTTTACTTTATATGATCGAAAATATATAAACCGATTGACTCAGAATCCCTTTCTGAGTAGATTTATCGATGTTCGTTCGCCAGACCGTGTGTCCATGTAAACGTTGTTATCATAGTACTGGTCGCTATTTTCAAGATAATTTGATGTAATTTGGCATGTACGATTCTTCTGGTCGTAGCCCATTGAAAATGGTTAAAATCGGTCCATTATTTCACAAGTGAACCCCCCGAAAAGAGCTTTTGAGCTCATAATTGTGTAAAATATAATGGAATCTCGTTAAAAGATGGCGCAACTAAGTTTTATACAAGCCTTGATAATTTGCCGAATTTTGAAATGATCGGGCCTCAATGGACCCTTCAAAAAGTTACTTGAAGACCCACAATTCACACTAATATTGCGATGAAATTTATTACAGATAATTATTATATAAATATAAATCTATGAAGCACATTTTATTGGGCTCGGTTCATATTTGCTCTTATCCCCCATATAAAGCCTCTTTCAAAAAGTTCGATTTTCGTCAATAAATTGCTTAAATAAATCGCAATAAAGGTAATATTCCAGATAAATGCTTTATTATGAAAAATAAATTACATTTAATAGTCATAACTGATGTAGGGTATCATATGGTCAGCCACGTCCTACTTGTTTCGACCTTAATTATTGTGTTATTATTAATTCTAGCCCCCATATAAAGTCCCCTCCAGAAATTGACTTGAAGATCCACAAATTACTTATTAACACTAATATTGCTATGGAATTTAGCACAGATAATTATTATATACATAAATATAAATCTATCCAGCACATTTTATCGGTATCGGTTCATATTTGCTCCTATCCCCCATATGAAGCCACTTTCAGAAAATATCGATTTTTGTCAATAAATTGCTTAAATAGATCGAAATTAATGTAATATTCCAGATAAATGCTTTATTATGAAAAATAAATCACATTTAATATTCAGAACTGATGTAGGGTATTATATGGTCAGCCACGCCCGACTATACCTCCAACTTGTTTAGACCTTAATTACTGTGTTATTATGAATTCTAGCCCCCATACATAGTCCCCCTCAGAAAGTGACTTGAAGATCCACAAATCACTTATTAACAATAATATTGCGCTGGAAATTAGCACAGATAATTAATATATACATAAATATAAATCTATCCAGCACATTTTATCGGGATCGGTTCATATTTGCAACTTTTCCCCATATGAAGCTTGTTTCAGAAAATTCGATTTTTGTCAATAAATTGCTTAAATAAATCGAAATCAATGTAATATTCCAGATAAATGCTTTATTATGAAAAATAAATCACATTTAATATTCCGAACTGATGTAGGGTATCATATGCTCAGCCACGCCCGACTATACCTTCCTACTTGTTTAGACCTTAATTATTGTGTTATTATTAATTCTAGCCCCCATACAAAGTCCCCTTCAGAAAGTGACTTGAAGATCCACAAATCACTTATTAACACTAATATTGGGATGGAATTTAGCACAGATAATTATTATAGACATAAATATAAATCTATCCAGCACATTTTATTGGGATCGGTTCATATTTGCTCCTATTCCCTATATGAAGCCACTTTCAGAAAATAAATCACAGAAAATTAGTTTTTCTTCAATAAATTGCTTAAATAAATCGCAATAAAGTTAATATTCCAGATAAATGCTTTATTATGAAAAATAAATCACATTTAATATTCAGAACTGGTGTAGGGCTATCATATGGTCGGCCACGGCCGACTATACTTTCTTATATAATTATTGTACATTAAAGTGTTTTCAAATCCATTTTATTTGTTTGGTGACCGATGACTATTAGAAAATTCCAAAACCCAATTTTCAACAAGTCGATTATAAATCCTTTAAAAAAATTAAAAAGGTGTATCTCTTCCCCATCTTGATCAGAATGGGGAAGTGATCGTGATATGTGATACTCACATAATTATGAAGACATTGTTGTCAGTAGTTAGAGAAGAGTCTATCGATATAACGATATCTTGGCGCAATTCACTCAATTTGATCCAAATTTTTTCAGGCCCCATCTACCAGAGCGCCTTACCTCCCTTGCTAAACCACAAACTAAATACTTCATTATGTTTGATGTAGAGATTTATGATGTATAATGTAAGGACAAAACGTTCTTCTTCTTCTGATTTTTTCATAATTCTACTTTTCTTTTTTTATGTTTTACAATCCTAAATACACTCTTGAGATACTATAACGTGTGCGTGTATGTAACAAGAAGGCGCGTTTTTTTTTTTACAAACAGCAAAAAACCATGTCAACTTTATCTTTTGTGGTTTCTTTAAGTTTCTTTTTTTATTTTTTTCTGCACTTTTTTATAATTTATAACAAAGGGGGACTTCTTGCTATACAACTTTAGTGTTTTTTTTTTGTCATCCGCGAGTGTTTCTGTGGAAATTATTACAACAAGATGTTAAATTAACAAAGCCACCGTCATTACGAATTTGGTTGTTGCGTCTCTTATTAAGTAGAGAAGACTATGTACATGCACACCACCATATTGTTTGGTGTTATTAAAGTTGCAAACAAAAAAAAAAAAAAACGAAATTGTAACAATGTATTATGAAATGAAAAGAATGACAAAAAAAATTATAAAGTCCCTTGCCGAGTGGTACACGTTTCATATACCTCCAGGTCTACAGCTCCACGGCAACATTGTTTCAATAGGAATGTGGTTTTCTTCAGAACACAAAACATAAACTGAGTTTAAAAAGCACTCTAGGAAGTCATTTTAATGTTTGACATTTATAGTCTTCTGTGTCAAGTGTTTGTAAGATTTTGTTCCTTGTCGAATTTGGTTTATAATAAGCTAATAAATTGTGTGGCAAATTGACTATATTCTTAGCGCTGTTTAACTAGGTGTATATACTCAAGGGTATGAATGTGACAAAGTACAATACAATTTAGAAAATTAATTTGATTTTAAATTGTGGAAACCACATAAATGTTGAGAACTACATTTTCATTACAATAAATTATGTTTAAATTCCTCTTAAAGCTGTATGCTATAGTTAATTTAATATTCACACATTATGTGTTCTTTAAGTTTTTCATTTAACCCTTAAATCATTTATCAATGTAATAATTTATTGTTTCCGTTGTTGTAAAATGCCTTTAATCATAATTGTTTACAAATTGTCAACAGTTT